TAGTTGCAGGTCTACATACTCCATCCCAGAAAGTAAAAGTCACCTCCATGTTATGGAAACGTATATTTCAGCACTAACCATAAAAGCATCCAATGTAAGCTTTAGTTGTGGCTGATATCAGTAGAGCCAAAAGTTTACTGTATAACATGTTCAACTTCAAATTAGTATGAAATTTCTTGAAAAAAGACCTTCAATGTTTAATAATGATAATTAGGTACTTGCAAGATTTACCTGCATTTGATTAGTTGCAGGTTCTTTAGTAGACGAATCAGAGAAGAACATACTGGATCAGGTATCTGTAAGAATGTGGTAAAATACTTTTAAATGGCTATTAAGAATTAAAAAAAAAACCATTAAACAGCAAGTAATGAGACAAGAAGAGCTGTGAGCCTTTATATGAAAGGCTAATGTTTACAAAGTAGACTCACAGAAAGCATAAACCTGTCCACCCTTTGCAGCTTTGTGAGTAACTTAGATCTCCAACGTCCAAACTCTGCTAATACATCTCAATAACTTGAAAAACCCTTAAAGGATAATAGAAACACTATGAAGAAAAACTAAGCAAATCAGAAGGGGGTCCTAATTACCTAGAGACAATCAACTCAAAATTTTCTAGCAATTGTTGAGGCATACCTCAAATAGCAACAGGCAGCCTTGAACAAAATGCAATAAAAATTGAAGATCGCTAGTTGCACATCTAATTTGTATCCCGGAAAGCAGAAGTCACCAATGTATTATGGAAAACTACTTTTAGCACTAACCAAAGAAGCAACAATGTTAGCCTTAGTTATGCCCGACTTCAATAAAACAATCAGAAATGTATTTGTTTCAAGTTACAAAATGTCCTAAAAATGGTGCACAATATGACTTCACCTATTTGGCATAGGTTTAACTTCAAACTAGTATAAAAATTTCCAGAAAAAAAAGACCTCCAAAATTTGATAATAATAGTTTAGTTAGTTGGCACAAGTTGTCTGCATTTCCTTTGCTGTAAGTCCTTATACTGGTAGAGCTAGATAGAGTACCGGTTAATAATGTGGTGAAATACTTTTCACTTGGCCATTAAGAACTTAAAGAGAAAAACATAAACAGCAAGTAATAAAACACACAGTCGAAAGCCTTTCTGGCACAACAAAAAATCACATCTTTATAGAGTAACCCACAGAAAGGATAAAATTACCCTACATTTGTCAAGTTCTGTAAGTTGCTGAGATCTACAAAGTTGAAACTCTGATAATACGTCACAATAACTTGAAAAACTCTGAAAGGATAATAGAAACAGTATTAACAGAGCTAAGCAATTCTGAGTCACCATTAATAAGGAAATAATGGAAACCACCAAATGATATAATCTCAATGAAAACTTATCAAATAAAAGGAACAAGGACGTGTCCAAGTCTATTTTTTTTCATCACAAGGTTAGTGAAAAAAAACATTGTGTTAGTGATGTATTTTAATCAATTGTTTCCAGATAAATTTCTTGATCCATCACATAAGCTGGAATTACAAGGAAAAAAAGAAAAAAGAAAGAAAAGCTACCTGATTTACTCCATGCATATCTGAAAATACAGCTTCTCTTTCTTAGACTTTTTATGTTACAACAGTACAATAAATGGGTTAAACAAAACAGGCAAGCAAATCTTCAGAGAGATTACAAGAAATTTGAGGTTGATTTCAGTGCTTGTGGACACAGTTTCTAACACAAGATTGTTGCAAAAAAACCTCAAATCAGGCAAGAACACATGGATAATAACCTGGAAAAAGATCATAGATAAATGATAGCAATGATCAGTATACGCAGTAAACCAAATATGGTTTTCCAATGAAGAAACAGAACATAAGTATTTTCTCCATACTGACAACAATTAATGCTTCTTATTCAAGTATTTGACACCAATTATTGACTTTATCATTTCAGGGAACAGATGTCTAATGCACCTCCTTTTCCATTTCCGACATTAACGCAACAAAAAATTAAACATACTATAAAAGTTATGCAAGTATACCAGATGAATTTAGAAGTGAAAAAAACTAAATATCCAAATTCTCATGAAGCAGAGGACAATATTCACATGTTAACAAAGGATGCATGTGAACAGAAATGCTGTGTTTGTGATGCATGATAATGAATTATTAATAGATAAATTTCTTGATCCATTAGAAAGCTGGAATGAAAAAAAGAAAAAAAAAAAAAAACCCTGTTTTTATTTCATATCTGAATATGTAGCTTCTATTTCTTGAACTGTTTAGTTGGACAAAAAGCCTGGAAAAAATTCATGTGTAGAAGGTGCAAACAAACCAAAGGGACATTAAGTTGGGAAAAACTGGAAAGTGATGCAGAAATGAAACAAAGAAAGATGATTAACAAAAAGAACAAGGAGTGCACAAAATTACTAGAGTTAATTAGGGAACTATCCATCTCTCCATAGGAATGAGATGATTCTAGTTCTTGACCTGGGAGGTTGCAATCTCTAATTTTCCCTCAATAACCAAGGAATCATATTCTACCAACTCCAATTCATGGATTGCTGTAATTGAAAGTTAATCCACAAACTGTCCCCCTTCACTATTCTCAAGTTTCATCAAAAGGGCAAGATGTCGATTAGCTTAGGACAATCTTAAGTAAAGTTCTTCAAGCCGAGAAAATGCCCCCACATTTCTCATTCTCTTCAGGAAAACCTAGTTCCTACCAATTCAAGATTTGTTAAAATATTAATGCTTCCTTTTGAAACAAGTATTTGAGTGGGTAAATTTGAATTTGATTTGTTTTTCATTTTTGTGAGGATGAGGGGAGTCATTGCGAGAGAATAAAAGGATGCATTTGGAATACACTTTGTTATCTAGGTTGTTTAAATTCACTATTTGAATCATTCTATAAATCCATGTATTAAGGTGTAATTATATAACTCACTTACTAATCAGTACTACCACTTAATTTCTTCTACAGGTGAAATCCAACATCTTCTTAAAGAGGAATTTCAAACTACAATCCAAAAAATTTCAAGGAATCTAGATGGCTTAGTAGCTAAGAGAATGTACCCTTGTCCAAATTAGCACCAAGGAAAAACCTCAAATTGGGAGATGTTTCCAGAGGAGCAGCTGTCCGAATTGTTTTGAGTAGTCCTTGAACTGAACGAATCAAGGAAAGGAAGACAGTGTTGCTGGTATAGACTAGAGAATATGGTAGTCACTGATTTCATACAATAAAGGAGAGAGGAAAGAAATAAGTTTTTCTTCATTGATTTGAAAGCTGTGCACATTGTTGCCGCCCCTGCACCAAGAAATCCAAATTTCATATGAAGTGGAGCTTGATGCAAAGCTGTCGAACCATAAAAAACTTACCTTCAAATAATTCTGGTACAGAAAAATGAGCTCTTGTAGCTCCAGGCTATGGCAGCTCATGCATGAGGAATTTCATTTGGATGGAAATCATCAATTAGGATTTGCAACCAATACTCAGAAGTAAGGAGATGGAAGGCTGTAAAAATATTTCCACAAATTAAACATCCGTTGTAGATCTAATTCCATCTAAAAGTTAAAATGCACAAGTCAATCCTTGCATTATGATATTAATTTTCTCAAACTAGTGGAAGCATCAATATTTGCTAAAGCCAAGCCCAAATGAAAGACATCATTTTGGAAGGATTTATGAGTGGGTCAGAGTTGCCATGCCTACAAATTTTGTAAGACAGATTAAATATAATAACTTATTATGTAACCAGATGATAGATAAAATTCGAGGGATGGACCAAAGTTATGCAAACTAACCATTTAACACAGCTTGCTCATATGAGCTCTGGATGTTCATGGAAGACCTTAGATGTTTTCTCATTTACTCTTACAGATTGTCTCCTTGATGGATCAGATGTAACAGAGAGTGCGAACCATGTCTTTGAGGCTACATTTGATCATCTACTGTTGGTAGTAGAGATGCCCAAGAGGCGATGAGGAAAGAAACGAACTGCCTAAACTTGAAGGTGCAGGAGTACCCAAAAACCTGATATTCAGAGATGGTACACTACCATACAGATCAATAGATTGCCAGAAAAATTAACAGAAGGCAAAAGCATTTGAAGCTAGTAGCGCAAGCAATGCCTCAAATAAGTGACTAAATAACACTTTTTTAATTTGATTCAACTATCCAATACTACACAGATTAAAGGTTCTACAACGGTTGCTAATGTCACATCCCCTTCTCCAGAAATAATATTAGTTTACTTTGAATTAAGGACTTTTCAACTTACACAAATTTGGCAAAATCTTGTATAACAGAATATGCTACTTTTTGCATGCTTGAAGAAAATATATTTTGAAGGTTCCAGACGCAGAATTAAGAAGAATTGAGTAATCAAAATTAAATGAGAAAACTATTTTTTATTGTACATTATAGTTTGAAAATCAAATCATCAACCAACTTAAATAGTCTCTCTACTAGGGCCCATAAAAGATTCATACTTCCAATATTAACAAGGTAGCATAACCCAATAATTGGAGATGAATTTGTAGGCCAAAGTGCCATAGAGAAGCTTCTCCTCTACAAAATTTTACACAACATAAATCCATTATCTTTATCACGAATGCATCAATCATAGTTTAAGTGCTTTTTTCCCGTTCTACCGATATTTAAATCTACCTGTACTTTATTTTCATACTCTTCCATATACCATCCCCTATACCAAATACACAAGCTATTCCTCATCAAGAAAAGCAAATCAAAGTAATGATATTAACAAAAATTTCTACTCCAGAAAGAGAAAAGCAAATATTAAAAATTTTTTAGCGACTGTTTGTTATCTTAGCTCGTGCAAATTAACTAATATCTTTGAAAAGAAGAACAACAATCCGGCATCAATCTCCTACTGCAAAAATCATAAAAACTCACTACACATTTTATAGTTAAACCAGGTTAATCATAAGAAGGATTGGATTCAAAAGATTGTCAAATAAGAGGAAAAACCACATATTCAACTAAATGAAAATAATCAACTAAAATTTGCAATAGAATTTCAGAAGCAACAGGATGCAAGTGGTGAGGCATTCCTTAAATATTAACTGACAGCCTGGAACAGGAAGCACCGCAATTGAAGATCAATAGTTGCAGGTCTACTTTGTATCCCAGAAAGCAAAAGACACTAAGTAGAAAAGCATTAATGTTAGCCTTAGTTGTGCATGACTTCATTAGATCAACCACAAAAGCATTGGTGCAAGTTACAAAATTTCTTCTAATAATTGTAAACTGTGTACTAATGGCTTAACCTAGTTGCTATGGCTTTTTTCAAACTAGAACAAAAGCCTTTTAAAAGGACCCTCACAAATTTGATGATAGAAATAAGTGGCACAAGATAGCTGCAGTTGATCTGCTGTAGCCCTGTAGGTCGTCTAGTGGAAGACCAAAAAAGGAACATATTGGATTGAATATCTGTTAAGAGAGATGAAATACAGTTTTCTTAGCTATTAATATTTTAAAAAGAGAAAATAAACAGCTAGTGATGAGACACTATTGGGGACTAGTTGTGAGCCTAATGATACAAAACACAGCATATGGTTGCAGAGTGAACCAACAAAAAGCATAGACATACTACTCTTATCATTTCGAAACAAGTATTTGAGATAATGAATTTAAGTTTGATTTGGTTGTCAATTTTTTGAGGATGTGTAGTCATTATATTTGAGGGAGTATAGAAGGATGCATTTAGAATTCACTTTGTTATCTGGGTATTTTAAATTCATTACCTTGAGGTATTCTATAAATCCATATATTTAAATGTAATTATACAACTCATATATTCGTGAGTATTACTGCATAATTTCTACTACATTTGATATCTTCTAAACCGTAAATTTACAAATGTGACATAAAATTTCATGAAATTAGATGGCTTATTGGCTAAAAGAACATACCCAAGAAAGTTAGGATCCATACTTGCTACTCAGGAAAACCCTCAAGTGGAGAGATCTTTTAAGAGAAGCAGCTGTTCAAGTTGTTTAAGTAGTCCTTGACTGAATGAATCATGAAAAGGAAGACAGGTCTTCTGGTATGAACTAGAGAATATGGCAGTAACTGATTTCATACAGTACAAAAAAATGGAGTAAAGGTAATTTTTCTTTATTGATTTAAAATCTATGCACATCAGCATTGCTGCTCCAGGAATTTGAATTGAACTAAGCGAAGCTTGAGACAAAGCTCTGGAACCATCAAAAACTGTCATGCAGATAATTCTGGGATAGAAAAATGAGCTATTGCACCTCCAGCCTAAGGCAACTCTAGGAAGAAGAACTTCATTTTGATGGCAATCATCAATTAGAATTTGCAACAAAGCTCAAAAGTAGCTAGGTTGATGGTAGCCCGTAAAAGTAAAGCAATTTGCCATAAAGTAAGTATCAGTTGCAGATTTAATTCCATCTAAAGGCAAAATCATCAGTATTTACATTAATCGTTCTTGAAATGAATACAATACGCCACAAAATCATTTGCAATATTTGATTTGTTCTACCCAAAACAATACTCGACAAGTACTTTTTTTTTCCCTCTTTACGAAGATTGAAGAACTCCAATTCAATAAATTATAAAATTGCTATACAAAAATAGAGAAATAATGCACCTCAGTGATGACTAAACAATTGACAGCCAACATAAGAGTGAATTATGGAGCTATCCGCCTCTTCAATTGAATGACACTATACTACTTCCTTGAGCTGGGAGTATCGCAATCTCTAATTTTCACCTCGTGCAGACCACATAGCAGTCCCTCAAAAGGCAACAAATCAAAATTCAATCAACTTCAATTCATGGATTGCCGCAATTCAAAGTTTACCCACAACTTGTCCTCCATTATTCTCAAGTTCATTGAAAGGTTTAGATGTCGAGTAGCTTATGACAGTACCATTCTTCAACATGTGAGAATGCCCCACATTCTTTATTGTCTTCAGAAAAAAGCCATTCCTACCATTTCAAGATGTGTTAGAACCTTAATGTTTTCATTTGTAAACAAGTATCAGAGAGTGAATTATAAATTTGATTTGTTGTTCCTTTTTCACTGACTATTGTAGTCATTACACTTAAAGAGTATAAAAAGATGTATATGGAATTCATTATTCAAGAGAAATTTTACAAATCCATGTATTTAAATGGAATTACATAAGTCATGTATTTGAGCCTTACCACATGAAATGGAGATTTTCGAATGAAATCTAAAATTTGATGGAATCTAGATGGCTTAGGTGCTCAAAGGACATACCTATGGAAGTTGGGATCCACAGTTACTACTATCGAAAACCTTCAAACTCGGAGCTCTTTCGAAAGGAACGGTCCTTGGACTCAACGACTCATCATGATAAGCACATCATGATAATTCTGGTCCGTCTGATTAAAAAATATGGTTGCCACTGATTTCGTGACAAGAGAAGGAAGGAGTTGAAATCCTTATTCTTTACTGACAAAAAATCTGAGCGCATCAACATTGCAACTCTAAGAAACCAAATTTTCAAATGAAGTTTGCAGAGCTTGATGCCAATCCATCCAAGTATTGAAAACTTTCATGCAGATAATTCTGGGATAGAAAAATGAGGCCATTAATCTCTAGACTAAGGCAAATCATACAACAGGGAACTTCGCTTTAATGAGAACCATAAACTGGAATTTGCAATTGATTCTTAAAAAGAAAAAAGAATCCAGGAAGCCTATAAAAGATTTTGAAGCAAATTAAGCAATAGTCAACCCTTTTATCATAAAAGTAATGAAGAATTTGGCATTAGAATTCAAGAAAAAAAAAGAGAAAACAGTCCACAAACTTCAATCAATAAAGAATTTTTGAAAGAAAAAAGAATAAATAAATAAGTAATATAAGTAGCTAAATAAAATGAAAATGAAGGAGTACCTGACCCTGAGTTAGATTGCGTTAATAATGGCAAATGGACACGTTGACAAATTTGGCTTCTGAGTATTGCTATGAAATGAGTTTATTGTCAATAAAAATGACAGGGACGCGGGAAATGATGGGCCAATCTTTACCTTTCCCCTTCTCGCAACGTTCACTCAGCATAGGACAACCGTAAATACAAATAAAAGAAAGAGAGTCAGGAAGCCCCTGTGCCGGCATGGATTTGAGTGCTGGACAACGGCTGATATGCAACTTGCGGAGAGAGGTGAGGTGTTGAAAGCCCTTGTCGTCCAAAAGCTCAAGATTTGGAAAAGAAAATATGCTCAGATCGGTAAGAGAAGAGGGCAGCAGATGTTCATCTGGAAAAGGCTCGTTTGCAACTGTAAGTGAATGGAACTTAGTTCCCCTCAAGTAATGGTGCTCCGAAGGATGGCTGATATGCAATCGATGAAGAGAGGTGAGGTGTTGAAAGCCCTTGTTGTTCAAAAGCTTAAGATTTGGAAGACCAAAAATGTCAAGATCAGCAAGGGAAGAGGGCAGCAGATGTTCATCTGGAAAACACTCTAATTTTTCACTCTCGATTACGAGGTGTTTAAGTGAAGGGAGTGTCTGCAAACTCCATTCCCTCCTTGTCATGCTCACAATCAGCTTTTCACTTCTTCTGATGGAAATAGTTTTTAATTTGGAGGGCAAGCCCTCTCTTGGTAATGACTCTATTTCTGGACAATCTGATATTTCCAATTGCCCCAGGGATGGGAAAAGGGAGTGCATATGCTTTGGCAATGACTTCAAATTTTGGCAATCTGAAAGCACAAGTCTCCTTAAATTGGTGGCAGATAATCCCTCTTCAATTTCAAAAGATATCAAATTAGGGCATCTATTGATTCGCAAAGTATTGAGACATGCGAGATGCTGGTGGTGAGGCCCCTCTGATGATGAACCAATCCACTTCAAGTCGTCACAACTCTGAAAAGAAAGACTTTTTAGCATAGGAAATGATCCTAATGGAAAAGATTCTAGGGGACGACACCTTCCGCCTTCTATCTCCAAGGATTCAAGGGATTTATACAAGGGGATTTTGAAACAATCCAAGACACCAAAATAGATTCTCAATTGCTTCAGCCTGATACCTTCAGGAAAGGATCTGAGATTAGAACAATAAGACATAGTTAACTTTTCAAGAAGAGTGCAGTGTTCCATCATCCGCTCCATTTGGGAATCTTTGATATCCCGATTCCAAATATTCAACTCTTGAAGCGCAAAAGGCAATGACCCCAATTGCAATTCATCGCAACCCAATAACTCAAGTTTGCAAATGCTTGGTGCACTAGGAAGCGAGCCACGGAGTTTTCCACATCGTTCAATCCGAAGTTCCGTTAAAGATGGGAGGTGCTTGGGCAGAAAATTGGTTAGCTTGCCACACTTTATTATGCTTAGCTCTTGCAAACTAGAGAAAGCATCATCTCTCGAGCAAAGCCTCCATTCTTTCCATTTTGGCATATCTGAAAAGATTAAAGTTTTAAGAGATCCAAATGGTTTACTCGATGCATCACAAGGCCCGTAGAAACCATTATTATCATCACCGACTGTTTCTACTTTGAGAAACCGTGAAATAGAGAGAGATTCCAAAGATGATAATTGTCCAAGCGGTGGCAAGAAAAAGCGACATTCACAATCGCTTAACTCCACAGAAACAACTTTTGAGAAGGAAGAATGTCCGATCCATTCCGGAAATCTTGTACCTCCATAACCTCTAATGACAAGACGCTCCGAGTTTGTATGGGGCTCCAGTTGTTCAAGTATTTCTCTTTCATGCGTTGTGTCATCAATATTATGACCCGGACTCCACAGCAACTCCAACTCCTTAAGGTCCTTCTTATCCTTCAAATTGGCATCTTTGGCATCCCTTTCACAGGTAACATTTTCTAAACCTGAAATGGTAAGTCTTCCATGTAGATGCTTGAGCTTTCCTAACTCATTAATGCTTGAACCATTTTGCTCGCCCAAAACAAAATCTGTTAATGTTCTAAGATCTTTCAACTTACCCATTCCTTCTGGCATTCTTATTAAACTTGTGCCCCTAATATCGAGATGTTGCATGTTGATCAATTTGCACATATCTTTGGGCAACTTAACAAGGTCTACGCATCTGAACAATATTAATGTTTGCAAACAGTACAATGCACTCAAAGAGTCCGGCAAACATTTAATTTTAGTTTTGGATAAATTCAAATATCGCAAATATTTTAAATTGCGAATATTGTCTGGCAACTCAATGATATTATAATAATTAGCCAAAGAAAGTACCCGCAAGCATCTACAATTTGTTATCAAATCAAGCAGTTGGCTGGTAACATAACAATCCGATGCAGGTGGGTTAATGGAAAGGAATGTTCGCAAACTTTTTGCTCTCGATAATGACTCAAATTTCCCAATCATATCATATCTTTCTGGGATATAGGAAAAATGACGAGTCTTTTCAGTTATTTCACAAGAACCACCACCACTACCTACCAATCTGCAAAAAAATTCTCCAGATATAGATTTAGCTAAGTCACTAATTAGGTCATGCATGACAAAGCAAGATTTTTCCTTTGATTGTTGGAAAAATGACCTGATTGCTAAATCTTTGAAGTATTTGTTACCTTCTGCGTTGCCATATTTTTTGGAAATTTGCAAAAGACCTTCAGCCATCCATAGTAGAATGAGTTCTTCCTTTTTGAATTCATAATCTTTAGGAAAAATAGAACAATATGCAAAGCAGCGCTTCAACTGTGAAGGAAGATAATAATAACTTAATTTTAAAGATGAAGGAATAGTAGTACCTTCCTCTTCTAGTTTGTCCCACAAATCACTATGTAATATTTCCTTCCATTCATCAGCTTCTTTATAACGCAGAAGACCTCCAAGTGCTTTTGCTGCTAAAGGGAGGCCTTTGCATCTTTTGGCAATGGCTTCACCGATTACCTCCAGATCTGGATGCATGCTTGGGCTTCCATCAACAAATGCATGTTTTGCAAGTAACTTCCAACAATAATCATCAGATAATTTATCAAGAGGATTAGTTTGAACATTCCTCACAATGTCTGCAACACTTTCACTACGTGTTGTTACGATAATTTTGCTGGTTTTTGCCCCAGAAGTGAAAGGTCTTCTCAGCTCTTCCCAGTCTTCATATTTCTCGTTCCAAACATCGTCCAATACAAATAGAAACTTCTTTCCCAACAGCTTCTCCTTTAGTTTCAGTTGAAGCTGATTTAAGTTCTGACTACCATCACAGCTACAAGTGATTTCTTCAAGAATAGTTTTGGTTACCCTGACAGCATCAAATTCGTCTGAAACACACACCCAAGCTTGGAGATCAAACGATTTCTTCACTCTCTTGTCATTGTAGATCAATTGTGCCAGGGTGGTTTTACCAACCCCGCCCATACCCACAATTGGAATCACATCTATCCGATTTTTAGTTGGATTTTCTGGGATCAACAACTTTATTATTTTTTCTTTTTCATCATCTCTGCCATAAACACCAGACTCATCCACCAAAGAAGTTGCAGGTGATCTTTGGAATGCCTTTTCTCCTCCGCAACTTTCTTTCAAACCGTGGATATCTTTTTGATTGACTAGATATTCCAGTCTCCCAATGATATCGTTCAGCTTTGACTCTATCCCCTCTTCAAAAGGATTGGGACTGGGAGAAGAAGAAAAGTGACTTCCATCGATCTTATCGAGGAGGTCCTCCGCATCATAAACAACATCTTTGAGCTCATCGATCCAGCTCCTGACATATGGGTTGGTAATCTGCTTATTTTCAGCATCACCCAGCACTACATTAACTGACATGAGCGTTGGCTTCAGTTTCTTAAGAAGACCATCTTCGAATGTCGTTCCTCTAATGAAGTCCAAGAACTGACGAGAAGCCAACCTGTCGAAAATAACTTGGAGGGAAGCAGAGAGAAAAGCTCCACCTACCAGAGCCCAGGCCATTTTTTTTTTCTTTTTGCTTTTGACAAGGAAATTTAAAGAAGATCAAAAGAAGTGAACGCAAACAATGGAAAGAAGGGTGCTCAGACTCAAGTGAAAGGGCTCGGTGAAATTGGTTCAGGGTAGGGGCGAAGAGTAATAAAAAGAACGCACACTAGAGTAGAGAGTGATTATATTTAGTTTGAATAATATCTTATATTATTACAGAGTGATTGTAGAAGCCTTGTGCTTGAAGTCTCCGTAAAAGTTAACTAGTGATGAGTCACATCTGAATCCGTCATGTCCCTTTCATCTTGATGCTACACCAACTACCATATTGTATAGATATGTATGGATAATTAAATTTAGGATGGGAAGAGTCCTATGCCAACAAGCATATCAATGCATTTATTTCCAATTATTTTTATAATATTTTTTATGTTTATTATTAAGAAAAAAAAAAAGGAGATAAGGTTGGGATTTCACGATTGATAGGTTACATCAAGCGTGTGAAATATTCTGTCTCACCTGTATGCTTTTTATACAAGTGTACGTTACAGTTGCAGATTCAATATAATAATATAATACAAAAACATATGAAAATACAAGTAATATATTTTAAAATTTTAAAAAAATAAAAATATATATTTATGTTAAACACATTAATAATTAATTATGATATAATAATTTTTATATTTTATATGTATTTAATATAAAATAAATACCATAAATTCTGACATTATATATTTAAAATTTTATTCATAATTATTGATATTATTTTTTATTTTAAAAATATTTTATTTGTTTATATAACTGTAAACTGTATGTCAAATTTTTATTAAATTATTCATTTTATAGTTTATGCATATTTTAAATTTTAAATTTTTTAAATAAATATCTAATATCATTTTTAGAAAATAAAATACTGTTTATAATGATAAATTTTAGCTTTCAAAAACAATAAATTCAACTTATTTATACTTTATCAAAAAAGGAAATTTTCCTAAATAAATAAAAAAAAAGAAGGGAAGTTTTTTTTTATAATGAGATTGTAAATAAATTTAAATAATGATTCTTATGAATTTTTCAAATGCAAAGATTTTTTTAATAACACTAAAATTTTGAAATATTTATAAAAAATTTCAATATAAAAATGCGTTTATTTTTCTTCTACTCATAAATAGGATTTTAAAATAAAAAAAGTCAACAAACAAACCTTTTTTAAAAAAACATATGAATAAAAATGAATAAATAAATATTTACATATTTATGCACTATTATTATGTTTCATTATTTACATCTCATGTGCATTACTTGATTATAGAAAAATAAAAATGAATTTTCAATAATAAAATTTTAAAAAAATTTGAGTAATAATTTTAAAGAAATTTTTATGTGGGAAAAAATTTTCTAATATTATCGACATATTAAAATATGTTGAAAACTCTTCTATACTAAGATTCTAGTTGTATAGATAATTATATATTATTCCTCCTTTTTTTATTTTTTTAGTTAGTATCACTAATAATTTTTTAATTATAATTAAATATTTAATATGATATATAAATTTTAAAAATTTTAATGTAATATTTGAATTATATATTTTTTAATTATGTGACACTTATTTTTAATATAATTATTTTAAATAAGAAAATGAGATCGATGAAAAAATTTTATACATTTTTTATTAAAAAATTTATAAGTTAATTAGATATTTTATTAAAAATTTTAATTTAAGTATCATATTCAATATTTTATTATAATTCAAAAATAATTCGTGATATTATTTTTAACTTTTTGAGATATTTTTAAATTATTTTTTAATATTTAATTTTTATTTTGAATTTAATTTTTATTTTTTTATTTTCTAATATTAAAAAGCATGAAACATTAATTTTATAAAAAAATAAATTTTAATATTAAATATACTAAAATTAAAATTTTTATATTATGTGAAAATAAAAAAAGAACCCAATAATTTAAAACAAGAGAGTATATTTAAATATTAAATATACATGGACATTTTACATATTAACCTAATCATTAAACTAAATTTTTTTGATAAAAAATCATTAAACTAAAATTAATTTTTTTAATTCCTTTAATTTAATTTCATAAGTATATTTTGAAAGCAAGATGATAGCATTGTGATGTCATCCACAATTGTATTTATTTTCCTTGAGTTCAAATATATTTTACAATAATAAAATCAAATATGAAAAAGATTAACAAATTTTTTTAATTGAACAGAAATTAATATTAATTTATTGTTACTTATGTTTCATTTATTTAAGTAACATGATCATCTAGTTTGTCGATTGTCAATAATAATTTAACAAACATTTAACAATTATATTTTCACGAAAAGCACCAAAAGTTAATATATTTTACAAACAAATAAGTCATTATTTCAATATAATAATTGATCGATTTGTACGATCAATTATACCTATGAAGGATTCGAAAGAAATCTTTTTATGTGTCTATTTATAATATATAAAAAATTATAAACAAAAAATTTAAAGTAATATTTCGTTGTAATATTATAATTTTCAACAACGAATTCTTATATCTTAAAAAAATTAATTAAATTATTATTAATACTCTTAAATATATCATTTCAATATATATATATATATATATATATATATATATGAGAGAACAATCATTCAACAAAGAATCATAAATTTTAAAATATCCATAAAAAATTTTTGAAGATGTCTAAGAAAAAATAAACCTTCAAAGTTTATTATTTTTTAATTTTGAGATGCACATGAACATCTTAATCTATAACTTGCATGCGCCTCTCCAATCAATATTTGTCTTTCACAATTTTATTTCTTGTTCACTTTCAATAAAAATTTAAATTCTTTCTCCAACCTCTTCTACATATCAATTTGATTTTTCCTTTTTCCTTTTGGTATTTCAAAGTAAATAATTACCAATAAATTAACATAGACTTTTAAGTAACGTGATCCTAAACTTTTATTTATTTTCAAAATAAGTTTAATTTTAATAAATATATATTTATGTAGTAAATTGGTACGAGAACAATATTGCTTTAATATGCAAAAATATTTTAACTCGACATTTCTCTATTAGTTATTACAATTTATTTGTTCTTTAAAAAATAAAGCACGTTAACTTTTGACATAATAAAATGAATAACTATTTCAGTATTCATAAAATAATTAGGAGTTTAAACAATTTTTTTAATCAATAGAGTTTATAAAAATTTAGTAATGAATTTATCTCTTCTAAAATAATTTATGTGAGGCTTTTTAACTTTTTTTATCGATCTAAAATACGTTGTAACTTTTTTTCTAATCTTTGTTAATTGGAATGATTGTTGATATAAGAAAAGTGTATACCATTAACATTAAAAAATAGGATAAAATACATAAATAATCACCAAATTTTGGGGATTACTTTCGAATGGCCACTTAAAAAATAGGATAAAATACCAATTAACATTAAAAAAATGATAAAATATATAAATAGTCACCAAAATTTAGGGATTGTTTTTAAATGTCACTTAAACATTAAATTTTTAATTTAATTACTTAGTTTATTTAAGTATTTTTTATCATCCAATCGTTAATGTCAAAAGGTAAATTGACTCGGCAATACTTTGTTAGTTATTAGATGCTACGTGATATTATCACGTCATCTGATAAATATGTGATATTATAAAATTTTAAAAATAAATAAATTTTATTTAATTTAAATTTTAAAAGTTATATTTTAGTTACTCGAATTAAAAAATTTATAATTTGATTATTAAAAAAAAAAACCCTCAAATTTTATAAGAAATAAAAATAAATATTTGATATTTGTGTTGCATAAAATTAAATTATAATTTTTTTATTTTATAGTAATTACACTATTTAAATTTGAAATATATATTAATATTATCCATTTTAAAAAATTAATAAAATAATGCTACTTTAATTATTTGTTATTCAACTCATCCAAATAAATTAAAGTAAGTATTTCTTATTTTACAATATCTAGTTTTAATTTCATGTAATAAAATATTGAGGAAAATATAGATAACAAAGTACAATAAAATAATTTATTATATTAAATTTCATAAACCGTTAGTGATTAAATCGTTATAAAACAATAATTTCAAAAATATTGATGATCAAAATATAAAAATATAATAGTTACTTTAATTTGTTTAGATTAACCAAATGACAAATACTTAAAGTAATAATATTTTAGTCAATCGACTAATATTCATCTATTGTTCAAATTTAAATAGTATGTTTATAATAAAATAAAAGTTCATAATTTAACTTCATGCAAAAAAATTAAATGGTTGTTTCTATTTTTTATAAAATTCAATGACTTATTTGAGTATTATCATAATATATTTTAACAAATAATAAATAATAAAAATAATATATTATATTAAATTTTATAAACGTTAGTGATCAACTAATTATAAATTTATAATGACAGTAGAGATCAAAATATTAATAAATTCCATATTTCTAATGTTAATGTTCTAATTGTATTAAATTTATATTCTATATTTTTTTTAAACTAATTTGTTGAATGAAATTAAACTTATGAACTTTTATTGGAATTAGAATATAGATATTATGAAATATGAAAATATTTACTTGAATTTAGTTAGATGGATTGAATCACAAAGATTTGAAGTAATGCTATTTTAGAAATTTTGATAATTTAATAATATTCATCCATTTTTTAAAATTTAAATGGTATTACTTATAACAAAATAAAAAATTTATAATTCAATTTCATGCACTAAAAATATCAACAAATTATTTATATTTTTTAAAATTTTGAAAACTTATTTATTAATGATCTAATTGTTAAATTTTTAAAGTTGAATAATTAAAATAAAAACTTTTTTAAAAGTTAAGTGAATAAATTTTTTTTCAAAAATTAGAGTATTATGCTAGCAATATCATGTGGCTTGTATGCGACACAGTGATGTCACGTAACACCTGACAACTAATGTGGTATTGTTATACCTGTAGTTAGAGATTGAAGTCGAGTTAAAAAATATTAACTCAAATTTAAATAATTAAATTAAAAAATTAAAGACCATTTTAAAATGATTCTTAAAGTTTGATGATTATTCTATATTTTATAAATTTCCTAAATAAATAGAAATGCTGTGCAT